CTCCAATAGAGGTCAAATGACATTAAATTTAACAAAAATAGTTCACTGTACAGCCTTCGACAATGAGCAAACTCTATACCGCATAGTAATCTATAAAAGGCCATGAAATAACAAATGTAAAACAGTTCAAAAAGGGCAAGGCATCTATCCATGCTTAACATGCTTGGGGGAAACACCACAAAGGCAAAAGCTAAGTGCCTGATTTTTGCACAAAACAATAAACAAAAAACAAATATGATATAAAGCAACAATTGACAACCACTGAATAACAGGCCCCTGACTTGGGACAGACACTTACAAAATGTGGCATGGTTTAACATGTTTGCTGGCGACAAATCCTTTTCTAATTTAAGGACAGTGATGTATTAGTGTCAGTTCAATATAAAAACTATAAAATCAGTTGAAAAGGGTTTTTTTCTGCTCTTGGGTCAGGTTATTTTGAAACATTCCCGTATTCATTCTCAATTTTATTAAATCATTAGAATGCAACAAAGCAGAAAAACAGTTACCAAAAACACAGACCGGATGTGGCTGGAAATTTATTCTTTCCCTTTAACAAAAAAGACTCAACATACAGATCTATTAGTACTCACAGTTACTGACAGCTAAGTCAGTAATTCAAAGCAAATATCAACTAATAAAATAAACATTTTGTGAGCACCCAACCCAACCCTAACCTGGGACAGTGGTCTTAATAACAGCACAACATTTGACATGTTTGAACAAACTGTAAACATTTGTTGCAATTGGCTTACCGGTAACTCAAAAGACTGCAACAAGGCACAAAAACAACTAATATGAAAACCATAGACACAAAGCACTGAAATAAGAGTACTTACAATTTTAAATATTAAAATGAAAGTTTATCAAAATGTACATAAACATGATGAAATAGCCATTTTATTGCTGTATTTCTCTTCATTTATAATTTTTGAGTTTTGTATATTTGTAGGTCAGACATCTTGGTTTTCATGATCATCATTCAACAGGTCAATACTGAACAGAAAACTTAAAGTTGATATTTTTCTACATAGTGTGACTTTTTTATTAATTTGAAATGGAATGTGTTTTTTTCCTACATTAGAAAGAGGAAATTTCAACATAATGACTATAAACAAAAAGGAGTCATATCATCATGATCATAGATGCATAAGAACTTAATCATGTAAATTTATGCAACAACGTAATTATCAATTGAAAGAAGGGAGGAATGAAAAAATATGTTAGTATTTTGTTCTCCAAATGAACTTGCTTTGTCCACTCTTTTAAATCGCACCATCCAATAAAGATGTACGGAGGAAGATCTTTGAAGAACAGATTGCAAAAATGTTTTGTCTAAGAATTGTAGGAATATTCTAGTGGATGAAATAATTTATTTACCGTACTTCACTCTTATATAGTGGACTGAATAATTGTGCATAGCAAGCTGAAACAAGAAAACTAAAACTTAACAGGAAAAGTGTTTATTTTATAAATTTGCAAATATAAACGTAATATTATGAACACCACAAAGGTATAAGATTCAAATCGTTTGCATATTCATGTATTGCAATGGAACTATAACAAAGAAAACTTTACCTCATGAAAAGAGTGAACTATTAACTGTACTTTGTCAATTTATTCAGTCAGAATATGAAATATTTTTTTTCAGTTCTATTTTTCATAATAAAACAAACAAGACAAAAATTTCAAATCAATATTTTTTTTCTTTTATTAAGACATGTCATCATTTTATTTGAATTAAGGGATTTTCTTTTTTGACTTTAAATATTATTATACTTTCCAAAATAATAATAATCTTTATTGTCATATAAACAAATTAAAAACATGTTTATGACAAAATGAAAAAAAACAAAATACACTCATATATATATTATAAACTTTTTACTACCAAACAGAATTCATTGTAACATACACATTACTGTATATTTATAATTTGAATCGCATAGGGTTTTACTTTGTCCCATGGGATATTAAAAATCCCATGGGATAATTATAGTCCCATGGGATTTTTTTTGTCCCATGGGACAACAAATATCCCATGGGACTACAATTATCCCATGGGACCCAAAAAAATCCTATGGGATTTAACCAAAATCCCATGGGATAATGGTCAATCCCATGGGATTTGCCTTATCCCATGGGATATTGAAAATCCCATGTTTTTCTAAATCAGATTACAAAATATATGTAATAATAACAGCAGAAAAGCAATGAAATTATTGAATCCCATGTAATTCCGCACATTTTGGTTATATACACAACACTGTAGCTCTAAGGAGAGGCGGCGGCGGATTTGCAAATGAGTGTTTTGCAAATTAAAAGTGTCCTGTGTTTACTGACAGAATAAAAACGGAACAGAAGAAATTTGCAAGATTCGTTTTATATTACTTAGTTCACACAATTTTATGAAATTTCGTAATTTTCATGCACATTAAAGTAAGTATGGTTAATCATGTCTGACAAAATGTGTTGATTCTTCGAATTTCAACTCGAATAGCCTTCACCGAAAAATATTTTAAGGAGTTTGAAAATGACTTGAAACTTTCAAATCATACACTATATATATACATACTATTAGTTAAAACGCTAACAACATTCACTTGTTGTTTTAACTTAGTTTCTATTCCAATATTAAGCAGATTGTCTTGATAGTTGGGTTAAGAAAATGATTCAATATCACAACCAAAAACAAATGAAACTTGTCGTTGTTAAAATTATTTGTCTTAATATATCAAAATTACCAAACGGATTTTTGTATGAATAACGTTCATTGGCAAATATTTCATGCGTGTTTAGGACAGTCACTATATATGTATCGATCATCATATATAATATAGATTCAACCAAAAAATACATTAATTTTAAGTGGATCGACCGGGATAAAGGACGATAAATTTTGAATACCATTGCAAATTAGTTGGTTAGGGGTAAAATTTGCCTAAAAGACTTGTTGCAAGGGTAATTTTACGTGCACAGAGCGTGAACCATTCTCAATTTTGCACATCGTATTTGACCTTCCCTTTTTAAATAAACGCATCTACGTATTTATACATCCCACACTGTCAAACGGGGATGAATCCTAGCATTGATCATACTGCCGGGCATAAGACGTCCAAGTAAATTTAATCCTACATTTTATGTTTATCCCAGTGAAATGTTTGATATCATAAAATTTTCGAAGATGTGGTATGATTGCCAATGATATAAACTTCTACAAGAGACCAAATGACGTAAAAATCAAAACTGTAGGTCACCATACGGCCTTCAACGAAAGCCCATAACATATATCAAGCTATAAAAGGCCCCGACATGAAAAATGTAAAACAAATCAAACGGGAAAACTAACGTCCTGATTTATGTACAAAGCAATCTACGAAAAAACAAATATGACATGCAACAGCATACGACAACCATTGAATTACAGGTTCCCGATTTGGGTCAGGCACACACAGAATGTGACAGGGTTGCACATAGGTACAATTGATGTTCGACACTAAAATTTGCAAAATCTAAAATATTGAACTATTGAGAGCATAAAAACGGAACAGAAAAAATTTGCAAGATTTGTTTTATATTACTTAGTTTACCCAATTTGATGAAATTTCATAATTTTCATGCACATTAAAGTAAGTATTGTTAATCATATATGACGAAATTTGTTGGTTCTTCGAATTTCAATTCTAATATCATCCACCGAAAAAATTTAAGGAGTTTGAAAATGCCTGGAAACGATTATTTTAAATTCATACATTGTATATATACATAGTACGTTCATTATTTTGTACATAAATCAGGCCGTTAGTTTTCTTGTTTGAATTGTTTTACATTTATCATTTCGGGGCCTTTTATAGCTGACTATACGGTATGGGTTTTAATCATTGTCGAAGGCCGTAAGGTGACCCATAGTTGTTAATTTCTGTGTCATTTGGTCTCTTGTGGAGGGTTGTCTCATTTAAACGCTAACGACAATCCCTTTTTGTTTTACTTTAGTTCCTAATCCAAGATTAAGCAGATTGGTTTGATAGATAGGTTAAAAAATGATTTTAAAATATCACAACCGAATACAAATGAAACATGTTGTTGTTAAAATTACTTGTCCTAATATATTAAAATTACAAAATTGATTTTTGCTTGAATAACGTTCATTGGTAAACATTTCATGCGTGTTTAGGACAGTCACTTTAAATGTATCGATCACCATATATAATAAGGATTAAACCAAAGAATACAACAATGTTAAGTGGATCGACCGGGATAATTGGCGATAAATTTTGAATACCATCGCAAATTAGGGACAGTTGGTTAGGGGTAAAATATACCTCAAAGACTTGTTGCAAGGGTAATTTTACGTGCAGAGAGCGTGCACCATTCTGAATATAGCACATATCGTATTTGACCTCCCCATTTTATATATACGTATCTACGTATTTATACATCCCACACTGTACAAACGGGGATAGATCCTAAGCATTGATCATACTGTCGTGCGTAAGACTAAGTAAATTTAATTCTATATCCCAGTGAAATGTTTGATATAATATTTTCTTGGTCTATAAATAAAGTGTATCATTAGATAAAAAAGAGTCCTTAAAATATTTTAACAAGTACAAATCTGAAGTGATCGGGTAAACACAAAGATGATATAAATCAGAAAATAAAAAAAGTTATATGGCTCTATAAGGTCAGATCGGTGTGATATTATATTGTACTTGGCTCTATTGATTCGGTATCAACTGCAATATATATACATATTTTCATATACTATTTTTTACCATATGTATTATTAGTTTAACCAAATATCTTTTAGTCTTTAAAATTAGTTTCATAAGCAGCAGGAACTGCGAACAGCTATTATAGGCTGGTCTTTCATTTGTTTGCCTTTAAATATGTTTTATTTATACACCTACTGATAAAATTTAAATATGACGTATTACATCTTATGATAAAAATAGAATATTTGTCAAGTACAAAACAAGTACCAGTGACCCATATTGATAAGGGGGCATGAGTATTCACGTTCGATATGCAACACGGAAGTAAAATAACTACGCCTATAGTTTAAGAAAATACATACTGCTACTTAAGAATTGTACTTCAAGTGTCATTCTCAGTAAGGTAAAATGACAAAATATGGAAATATTTGAAACGAAATTAAAAAAGGACGGTTAAAGAATCAGGTAAATATATTAGTTTATTTTATTTTGTTCGATAGAAACTGGGAATTGTTTACTCATATTATGTCCCAGATATAAACCGTTACATTAAAAGACACAAATTGTATTTATTGTCTGAATGGCTAATGTATCCTGGAGTATGCCATTGGTTATGAGGGTCTGGGTGAGGTCGACAGATAAGAGAATAATGGGTCAATACTTAAATAGATAAAGAATAGTAAGATAATAATGGGGTGCTAAACTATAAACAATGGAGAATAATGGGCATATAATTTATAAAGAATAGAGAAAAATGACTTGAAAAAATAAAGAATACAGAATTGACTGTTACTATAGTACGAACAGTTAAGAGGATACAGCCAGAATGGTCCTCTGTTGAATTAAATACAAATGTGGTCTGTAAAAATTGTATAATGAACGGTGCTCTTCTTCTAAATGTAAACACGATTCACTTAACCCTGCCCATCCCATCGACAACACTTAAACGATGACATTACTTATTTGCTACCACGAAACGAAAGTGTCACGTTTTGATTTGGACAGCTATGTATAGCTTAGCTTATATCACAACCAATACCAAGTGTAGTACTCGATTGTGTATGGTTAAAAGAGCAAGGAAATGAGATAAAATCGTCGTATGCTTAAAGTAAAACATCAGTATGAAGTGTAACCAGTTTGGTTGGCTGTGACAATACTAATATACATTACTGTTTACGGGCCAGCTGAAGCCCGCTTCTGGGTGCGGAATTTTCTCACCATTGGTGTCTTGGGCTGTTTTCTGCTTTAAGTCGGGTTGTTGTCTCTTTGACACATTAATTTCCCCGTTATCATTCTCAATTTTATCTTACTGGACAAGTGAAAATTGAAAATTTTGAAGTATTTGTTAAATGAATCATGTATTTACAATACGTTCACGTTAGTTTACGGAAATCCTATACTTTTTTCTCCCTATTGGATTGCACAGTACATTCGCAGAACCTACCCATCGTCAGTATAGTCCGGAAGATAAGTACAATGTTTCAAAGGTAGAATGTTCTGTAAGGCCATCTCATTAAAACGTCTAGACATTCAGCAAGCGATTATCAATGTCATCGGATATAATGTAAACGAGACCAATACCGGGTCTGAACCTGGGTCACTGCATGCAATGGATTAAGGTTATATGTATACTGGAGCATAACTGATCATTCCCCAAAATCATTGAAACCAAGAAAACTTCGACAAAAGTTTTCCTTGTATAATGAGTGTTGTAAAGTTTCAAACTATCAGCAAACAGGAAGTGGCTACACGGCAGATGTAAAAATTACTTACTCCCTACAACTGAACATCATCAAGCTGCAGACCAAATATTAAAATTGTTCCGAATGTGACTTACCGAATTAGACTATTTACCGGATTTGTAATAACATTAGCAACACGACGGGTGCCACATGTGGAGCAGGATCTGCTTACCCTTCCGGAGCACTTGAGATCACCCCCAGTTTTTGGTGGGGTTCGTGTTGCTCAGTCTTTGGTTTTCTATGTTGTGTCATCTGTACTATTATTTGTCTGTTTGTCTTTTTATTTTTGGCCATGGCGTTGTCAGTTTGTTTTCGATCTATGAGTTTGACTGTCCCTCTGGTATCTTTCGTCTCTCTTTTTCAATAGGAGCCAAGAAAGATTGAATAAAAACAATAATCGATCGGTATAATAACTGGAAAAAAAAGAGGCATGGTCAATATCTACTGCACTCGTTTCATTCGAAGGGTCAGAATGGTACAGAAAATGAACCCTAGTAATATTTCACTCCAAAATAACCTATTTCATGTATTTACTGTAATACTTATTAATTTTAAACATAGTTTTCTATGGATAAATCCATGGTAATCAAGTTATGAATTTTTAAAAGGACAATTTGATATTGACAAAAGGACAGTTTGAAATATGTTGTATCAGAAAGTTCTTTTTTTATTTATAATTTAGCTTTTCGCGATCGAACGTTTGATTAATTTGGAACACCTTTTAATATATTTTTGGGGAAAATACTAAAAGTTTACAAACTAAATTTCCAACTTTGATATAAGTAAAAGGAAATGTGGGATTCTAGTACACATAAATAAGGCAGAACCCAACGACAGGTTCCCTTAGTTGGTGATAGTGTAAGTTTATTTTACTTCGGCTAATTATTTTTTATTTGTCACCTTGGTATTCTCAACCCCTATTTTAAATTTGTTTTGAGATCTCAACCCATCTCTTTAAATCTCGATCATTGGTCTATCAATTATTGTCGTGTTTCATGTCTGAAATAGGAAGAAATGTAGTAGGAACCTCAAAGTAGATACTTGAAGCCGTCACTAAGGTTTTTTTAGTCAGTTGTGTTCTATGTTTGTGATGTATGATGTTTACAAACTTTTGGCTGCTGAATCCCAATTATTGTCACATTAATATATTATGTCTGTTTAGATTGCTCACCGAATTTTGTCAATATAACGGAACTATAAACAAGTGTCATACAAGTGGGAAGTTTAGCTAGCTATAACACTAGGTTTAACCCACCATTTTCTTCGGAAAATACCTGTACCAAGTCAGGAATATGACGGTTGTTTTCTTTTAGTCCCGTTGGTTGAAAAAGTCTAACGTTTGATTTTGTTAGTTTTTATGGACTTCCCCTTTTTGAATTTACCTTGGAGTTCGGTATTTTTAGTCCCCTACCGACGAAGTCGAAGGGGACTTTAGGTTTGCACTCAGTCTGTCTGTCTGTCTGTCTGTCTGTCTGTCTGTCTGTCAGTTCGTCAAATCAGTTTTCCACATTTTTTTTCTTCGTGCTTGAAGATACTGATTTGATATTTGATATATTGTTTCATCATGACAAGTTACAGATCAAGTTCGAATTTTGTACCATTCCGATGATTTTGTGCAGAGTTCTGGTCCTTGGACTTAGAAAATTCACTCAAATAATCAGTTTTCCACACCTTTTTTCGTCATGCTTGAAGATATTGATTTGATAATTGGTATATAGTTTTATCATGACAAGTTACAGATCAAGTTTGAATTTTGTTCCGGTCTGATGTTTTTGTGCAGAGCTATGGTCCTTGGACTTAGAAAATTCAATTTAATAATCAGTTTTCCACCCTTTTTTCGTCATGCTTGAAAATATTGACTTGATATTTGTTATATAGTTTAGTACACCATGACAAGTTATAAGATCAAGTTAGCATTTTGTTCCTGTACAATGATTTTTTAACTGGAAGGGGACTATGTATTGCCATGTAATATTTTCAGAATGCTTGTTGTTATTCTTTTTTAGTGAATTTTAGTAAAAATCGACAGACGTTTTATCATGTTTAAATAGACTTTGTGTATAATATATTAAGGAAAAATCGGCCCTACTTTTTTCGTGATACATTTAAACATTTGAACTATCAAGATTAAAGAAGAATACATTTTGTCAATTTAATCAATATAAGTAAAAGACACCAAATAACCAGTGGATTTTAGCATGCTTTTCTTACTGCAAACTTCATAAGGAAGCACCTTTCAGTTTATTATAGAATTATTCTAATAGTATCTTTAAGTTTATTTCCTGTACTGATTTTATTGTCTACATATTTGTGAACATCTTGGTAACCCGCTATTTAATAATAATAGTGAAGAGTTGAGATCTAGTACTACAAAAAAAAAAAATTTTACCGCACCATGTTTTATTTTACTATATATATATATGTCCAAAGTCAATGAATCTCGTCCGTGGTTGTTCTATGTCATTTAGTTTTATTAATCGGAAAATTTGGATTAGGAGTCAGATCTTTGATACATTGTAGTTTCTGTTAACTCCTTTTCCCGTATTTATAGATCTAGACTCGGAATGATTCAGATATTGCAATATTGTATTAACATCTATCTATAATGTTGAAGACTGCATACTGCCTCGATCCTGTGTGTCATTTTGGTTATGTTGTCGTTGAGTGTTATTTTTGACGTATTTTCTTAATCTACTTATGGCTTAAAAAAATTCTCACGAAAAAAAACAGATTGGAGTTTTGGCATCAGGAACTTTAAAGTAAATCATTGCCCCTGTTTTAAGTTTATTTTTTTACGATTATTACTATAAGTTGCATGCTTATTTAAGTTTTTCCCCCACTTGTCTTGCTAATACCAAAGTAATCTTATAGTAACAGGAACTATATATGTCTCCTCCTTTTTTACTGGGACAGACAATATAGTTACAAGCCGGATCCGTGCCCACCTACCCTTGAAAGGCACGAAGTATTTACAGTAATTTCTTCTTTAAAATACATTGCACAAGTTTTGTCCGGAGTTTGTCCGGAGTTTATACTCACGTCTGTATTTTTATTGCCCGGCTCCATCTGCTCTGCGTACATTCATCTAAGGTTTTATGTAATTCACGTTCGATAACTTCACCACTTTCAGCTTTATCCAATAAGCATGATACGTAGCCTAACAGATGGTTGATCGTCAAATAAATAACAAACCGTATATCGGGTTATTTTTCGTCGGGCTTTGTTTGAAATTGGACTTTTGAAGGAACAGTTTAATTTTTACCGAGTTCCTTGTTCACATTTCACGGTTTAAATAGGATGTAAAAAGCTTGTGGAGGGCAAATCTCGAAGTAAAATACATTCCACAAACAAAGAGAAAAGTAGACACACGCGAAAATTCCCCGATAAAGCCTCTTATATTTCCACTAAAACATAAACTATTTCTACAATGTACATGTAGTTATATAAGTTTCAAATTTTACTAACTTATAAAACGGATCTTTTCATTAAGTCGTGCAGTGAACGTAAAGGTAGGCTGTCCTTTTTTTTTAAAAGTTTGACCGTGTATGCTTAATGACTTTTAGTGTGTGACTGTCACTTAGTTTAGTTAAATTAAACATTGTCTGTTATCGTGTTAGCTTTAAACGGAAGGTCCTACTAACGTTTTAATTGTTATATGTGTGTGAAGTGTGCAGAGACACAAGCTCAGCTGATGCAGATCGATTGATAAATCAGGGGTACATGTAGTTAGGACGTAAGAGAATAAGGTCCAGAAGGTGTTACTAATTTTTACTGCTGCTTGACAAATACATCTTGATTCTTTGTATCAGAAGTCAGTGTGTAAAGGAGAAACCCTTTTATATCATTTTCGCAGATCTTTATAATTAAAAAATCATTTATCACGTTTTTGTTTCATCTAAAGATATAAAATAATGATATTTGGTATGATTGCCAATGAGACATTTATCTATCAAAGTTCAAATGAAGTGGATGTAAGCAATTATAGGCAAACAAGCGGCTTTCAACAATTAGAAAAAAAAACCAATACCGTATTGTCGGCTATAAAAGGCCACGACATAAAATAAATATATAAAAAAGATCCCTCGCTAAACTATTGGCCTTATTTATATTTTTTTTTTTTATTTTACGAAAAACAAATATGACAGATATGAACCAACGACAACCACTGAACAACAGGCTCCAGACTTTGGATAGTGTCTTTTTTGTTTAGGGATGTATAGGTACGCTGCCACGTTCGGTCTGTGTTTTCGTTAGATGTTTTCTGCTTTGTGTCGATCTGGTGAGTGAAGCCTTTCAAACTGTTTTTTATAGTTTGTTCTTATGCTGTACTGTTACACCACTGTCCAAGGTTAGGTGAAGGTTTAGCGCCAGCAAACATGTTTAACCCCGACACATTCTGTATGTGCCTGTCCCAAGTCAGGAGCCTGTAGTTCAGTGGTTGACGTTAGTTCATAGATATAAGAAGATGTGGTATGAGTGCCAATGAGACAACTCTCCATCCAAGTCAAAATTTATAAAAGTAAACCATTATAGGTCAAAGTACGGTCATCAACACGGAGCCTTGGCTCACACCGAACAGCAAGCTATAAAGGGCACCAAAAATTACTAGTGTAAAACCATTCAAACGAGAAAACCAACGGTCTAATCTATATAAAAAACGAGAAACGCGAAACACTTATGAACCACATCAACAAACGACAACTACTGAACATCAGATTCCTGACTTAGGACAGGTGCAAACAATTGCAGCGGGTTTAAATGGTTTAATGGTACCAAACCTTCACCCTTATCTGAAACAATAGTGTAACATTACAATATAGAAAGACACACTATAAAATATCAATTGAATTGGCTTAACTCAATCAAAAGACATATTAACACCAGTGAACATACACTGAACAAATAAATTTGATCCATGATACAATGCAAATTCAAAATAAATAAACTAAGGGAAGAATAACTAAAGTAACATGTTATACCGCTGTGAAATGTTAAACAATTTAAGAAAAACAATATGCTTGAACAAAAATATCAGCCATTTGCAATTACTTTAAACACAGGTAAATGAAAATAATTTTGTTGTTAGGTATACGTGTACAGTTCAAATGGAGAAAGGGAATATTTTTACAAAATAAATAATTTTGATGTTCATAGTATGAAGAAGTGAAAATTTATAGTAATACCAAACACTTAACTAAGCTGGTATATAGACCAGATATAACCCTGAATAAGTAAACATTAAATAACAGAAAAACATTACAAATAGTATCAACAGGTCAAATAAACAAGAAAGTACGATTTGAGAGTACTCGCAGTTACTGACAGCTAGTAAAAAGCCAAAAACAATTAATACTAAAAAATCATGCATCAGAGACTAAAATCAACTAAAACACATCCCAGGAATTTAGTATTTTAACGTCATGGACAGTCAAAGAAGACATGACTTGTACAATGCCAAAAATAAATGTATCGACAAGCAGTAGGATAGTTAGGAGTTAACCTCTTTATAGATCAAAATGAACGTGGGTGTGTCTTTATACATCCCGTTTGAAAAGAATACAAATTTAGTTACGTTTTAATTTGCTGATGACAAAATCGATATCAGTGCCAATGTAAACTATATTCAAAGATCTAATTACAACATTGGTAAGATAACCTTTACTAATAAGTTTTTTTAAAGGTTCATGTCTGTCATATTTGTTTTTCGAAAATAGTTTTGTTATACATTAGGCCATTAGATTTCTCAATTGGATTGTTTCATATTTTTCATGATGGGGCCTTTTATAGGTATATACGATATGGGTTTTCCTCATTGTTGAAGGCCGTCCGGTTGCGTTTAATTGCTTACATCCACTTCATTTGATCTTTGGTGGATAGTTGTCGCATTGTCAATGAAACGACATCTCCTTATTTTTATATATATCATGTTTCCAAACCATTTATGTATAATAGAAGACAAAATCCAGATGAATGAAGACAAAGTGACAATACCAAACAAAAAACCTTAGACGGAAAACTTAATTTTGAGCAACGTGAAGCAAAAAAAAAACCAATGGTAAAATTACTAGGACACCCGACTACTTAAATTATGTCGTAGGATCTTACCTTTTGACGGGTGCCCTAATTATTCATGGGTAGGGAATTCTGTTTTCCCCTCCCATTTATCATATTGAATCTCAAATTTACATATTACGTACATCGTAAAAAACTACTTAATAGTGTTGTCAGACTGTTCAAGTACCCACATAAAGCTGTGTTATCGTCAAATTTTATTGAAGCAAAATAAACCTTGAAAATGCATTTTTATGATATGAATTCATATGAAAGTACATGTAGCCCCTAATACCTCTTTTGACAGCAACATCACAAGAAAAATTTTATCGAGGGGGAGGACAGGGTGAAGGGAGACAATGAGAAAGTGGTGGGAGTAAAGAGAGGAGAGGAGGGATGGTAGAAGACTACCTACCCCTGTCCTTCCCCTCTTTATTAGCACGATACAGAGCAACTACTTATAAGTATACCTTCTTGTAAAAAATTCACAAAGTCGACTATGTGTAGTGAGAAAATAATTAAGTAAGATTTAGGTCTGGGTAAAAAAAACGATCGAACCAATTCAAGTTTTTAGGGATGTATAAAACACATAGTTGTAGCAAGGTAATTGTTAGTTTCAATGTCCTGGATACACATTATAAGTATTGTATAGTTAAACGATTATATCATGAGGAAGTAAAAGGGCTGTGTATTGTCAATTGATTGAATAGATTTGTTATTATTTAAATTCGAAATTATAAAAAAAGACGATGGATAATGCTAAATCTAGTCCTTGTAAATTAGTTTACAGTAGCACCATGTGAGTATCATTTGTCTTGTTTTGTGTATTTTTTAATGGAACTTGTACAACGTAATTGAATGTTGTGTAATTTTTAGGACAACTATGTGTGTTTTAACAACATCATATGCATTGTTAAGTTACAAATTAACAATTTGAATAGATGTTCTATATATTTGAATATCTTTATTATAGCTGATTGTTTGAATACATCTTTGGGAATTTAAATTCTAGTTATAATAACCCGTCTTTAAACTAAATCTATCACCTTAAGTATAATACTGTAATATTATCTTGTACATTGTCTCTATAATAAATTGCATATATTTTGTTTATTTTTTTTATTTTCATAATAGTTAGTAGACGTTTTAACCAACAAAAATCAATGACAGTTCTGATTATTAAAATAAAATAGAGATGAATTAAGTTTCGGGCTTCATATACTGAAGAACAGTATACTTACATGATAAAACGATGACAGAAATTCCGCAAATTCCCCTTCTTACACCAATGAGTTCTTTACAAAAAATGTGGATTTTTATTTTTTTCTCCAAAATAGAAAAATCCCATTAATGAATTCAATAAGGACATTTAAAACTTTGTAATACCAATACTAAAAAAAAAAGGAAACAAACATTTATTTAATTGAGTAGAACATGTATTGATATTAAATTGGAAGTATTTAATGAGCCACTACAGAATTACCGAACGAAACTGGATTGACGAGGACTTGAACAAGGAAAAGATGGTGGATATAAAGTACAAATAATTTACATTTCAACTGTTATATCAATGTGTTATATTATGATCAATGTGTTATAATAATACTTTCAGTACAGAAATGGAAATGAAAGATATACGTTCCTCCAGACACGGAGAGTTAAATGGTGACATTTCTTCAGCAAAACATGACTATGCCAGAAGATCGTTTGACAAATACTTGGCAAGTGTTGATACGGAAAATGCGAATGAGCAAGTTTTAAATCAAGTTACAGATCTTCAGAAGCTTATCAAGGAAATTAAGGTATTTTTGTTCCCACATTTTCATTGTTTTACATGTATAAGTAAATTTAGGACTGTGTTATGATCATGTAAGAATAGAGGAAGTATAATGTATGACAAAGTGTTCTGGCCTGAATGAACGATTCTTTATACTTGAGAATCTCATCTTTGAAGAATGACCAGTTTTATCATCCACAATTATATCAAGTCGACATTGTATAATGGAGAATCTCCACTCCAAGTTTGTTCAGAATATTATCAGTTATGTCTAATCGATGTTTTAAAATGTAGGCATTTCCTTCAGTAGTAATGCTAATGATAACATCCTGATAAACAGAAAACAGGACAATGGTTGACCCCATAAGACCTAAAAAAAAAACCTTTTAAATTTGGATCGAAAAAAGTTTATTGCACCCAGTTCCCACGAAATTTTGTCATTTCTTTAAAGTTTCATGTGAAAATATCACATTCAATAACTATTTTCCTATTTCTTAACAATAATAACAAAATCGAGTCATTTATGTGACCAAACATTACAGATGTGGTACATGTATGATTGCCAATGCAATACTTTCCATCCGAATCAAAATGACGTGAAAAAAAGCAACTAAAGGGCTTACGGTCATAAAACTTTCGAGTAATTTTTTCGTACTCAGACTCAGAAATCAACCAATCAAAATCCTGGGCCCTCGGTCATTAAACCTTACTCAGTACTTGGAGTACAAAATGTTTGCTCGAAACACCAAATCCAGTATTTTGATTGGTTGATTTCTGAGTCTGAGAACGATAATCATTCTTGAAAGTTTTATGACCGCAAGGCCTGAATTTGGCGTTCCGAGTACAATTATTGTACTCCAAGTACTGAGTCAAGTTTTATGACCGAAAGGCCAGGTCACCGTACGGCCTTCAACAATAATACCGTATAGTAACCTATAAAAGGCCCCGACATGACAAATGTGAAACAATGCATACGAGAAAACCAACGTTCTGATTTATAAGAAAATATTTAACGAAAACCAAATATGACAGACATGAACCAACGACAGCCACTGCATTACAGGCTCTTGACTTGGCACAGGTAAATAAATAATTTGGACGGTTAAACATATTTGAAAGGCTCAACTATGCCCCTAACATGTGGCAATAGTGAACAGCACAGAATAAAAGAACACACACTGTAAAAATTCACTTGGGTTAACTAAAAAGATTGATAGAAAACAGATAATTTAAAAACAAAAGACACAAAGTACAGATCTCCAGAGTACTTACAGTACTCGTTATTTTAACAAAGACGCCGTTGATAAATTTTTGTCTGTGTATTAATCAAGATTTAATGGTACCGTAACTATGCTGTGTATGATTTCAATTATTTAGGAAGAGAACACAAAAACTAACATAAACTTGAGCAACAGCTATAACCAACATAACAGATTATTCCAAATAGACATTGTATATTGAATTCTCTCTGATTGAAAATGCTTCTTTAATAATTATTATATCAAACTGAAAGTGTTTCAGTATGCACACTTTTATCAAATAAAAAATAATAATTCTTAACCAAAAAGGTGAGACTCAGCACGATATGTGTATTCATTTTTCTAAAAGGTGTAGTTAATATGTTAATAAACGATTAATTTTGAAACGAATTTCTAAGGAAGTTGATAGACCAAAAAGAATGTAAACGCCACACCCTCTTTGACACTATTACTAGTACATCAAATAAATCAACAACTATTTGTTTTTCTCAAAGACACCATTATATAACATTAGTTTCCTTGATTTTTTGACAGAACAAATAAAAAACTTCACATTCTGTTGTTGTTCTATTGATAACACGTTGTTTCCTCAACAACGAAATCCTGAAGTACGACACTTACTGATTCCCGTTCTATCTTTTTTTGATAATATGAAAACAAAACACCTTTTTTTGAACTGAATATTTATTTTTGTTTTTCTGTTCTATAGATGAAACGTTAAACTTTATAAATTTCGTGTGCCCGAAGCGCATTACTGGATTTAAATTCATCAGGAACGCTAAAACCTAAACATTTAAATCCAGTGATGCGCAAATACTTCGCGAGAAACGTTAGTAGCCACAGTAGTGGCGCGATCCTCACTTTGCAAAAAAAATCTACTCAAACATGTGCTAGGTGCCGTCTCAAGGCAGAGAGGTGAGAGTTTTTGTTTAATATTGAAGGCCTCACTGTGATTTTTAGATGAAAAACAGCAGTAAAAAATTTGTTACTTTGCTTTTTGTGTTTTTTGCTGTGCATGTATTGATTGTGTGTCATGGAAGGATGCCCCATGTCCTTTCTTATCTATTATATGACAAAAAATGGATTTAAAATTAATAGTCAAATTCACATAATGTTAACTTTGTATGATGGAGTTGGGACCTTAGCTGCCATTAATTTCTTAATTTATCAACGAGGAATTTAGAAAAAAAGAATGAAAAATATATAATGTCAGTACAGAAGATCTCACTGCTGAGCTGATGATACCCACAGGGACTGACATTCCACTGGCAGTATTTCGACCCAGTGTTAGTAAATGGAAATAGCACATTACATGTATAAATTTCGTGCGTCCGAAGTGCTTTTTCTGGATTTACCATCACCAGAAACGCTCAAATCAAATCATTTGAAAGCCAGGGATGTATAAATACGTAGAAACGTTAAGATCTATATATGAACTGAAGGGACATATAGGTTATATACGTTTTCCTCTTGATTATTTCAGAATTTATGATGTATGCCCTAGGCCTGCTATCAGTAGGCTGCATGAACATTTGGAGACGTTGATTTTACATTTTTGACATTTTCTTGTTATGATTACCACAAAAAAAAATTATTTTAGAGTTCATTCTTTTCTTTTATTTTTCATAAGACAAAAGAGACCACAAAAATGGATAACATTGAGAAGCAGATTACTGAAGAATCCATGGAAATTGAAACAATACGACAGAGGTATATATAATTTAAGTAGTTTTTGAATACTGTAAATTAAAAGATTAGATTTTGTAGGTTAGTTATCAAACATTTGGAAAATAAACATTTTGAACACTAAATTCACAACAAATCTATTAAAGTTAATTTGATAAACACCGTAAATGACAATGGTAAACCCCCATGGTATTATAAGACATTTCAATGGCTTAGAACCACGTGGAATATAAATGTAGTATCCGAGTATTATACGGGGGTATGTCTTCCTTTTAATATATTTATTGTCTTTCTTTTTTGTCTCGAAAAGTCAACTACATGTATTCCAGAGATAATAAAAGTCATCTAAATATTGAAATAAAGAAAACGCGTAAAAAAAAAAGAAAATGAGTGAAGCAAAAAAATATCTTCGGTGGTTGTAATTGAAAGATGAGGTCGTATTATTAAATATAAAGTTAGTTTAAATTTTGACAGACTGAAGCTTATATTCATAGATCTCGAGATTATTTTGCGTTTAAATCTGACTTTTGTATGCAAGTCAACATGTTTAACCGCTAATATTGTTCATGTATATTAGCCTGCGTTCATCCACTGTGACGTCACCTGAACTCTGGTGAACAGTTGTCTCATTTGCATTCATACCACATCTCGTTATTTTTTTTTCTATCTTTCATCCATATAAATGAAGATGCTTAGGCCATTTTGCACACTTTTCTTGTACAGTTACTGTAATAACTCTGTTTTGTATTAATTTTCCTTCTTATGTTACTTTAGACTTCAGTCTGTGACGAAATCAAAAGAGCAACCAAAAGCAGACGACAGAATAAAGTTCCGAGAAAAATACATCATGTTCTGTGCGACCGAGAGAAAGCATATGTGCGAGTTACTTGGTAGTGCAGAGAAAACATGTGAAATATTGAAGGTATATTTATGTGCATTGAAGCAGCAAACAATTTAAACAGTTAGTGGTTTAAATGAATTCGTTCTTCTACTTAATTCAGTGATATTCAGGTTGCATGTGGTACAAAGGCAGTGGCAATACTTCCGTTCAGTGCATTGAAAAGCATAGTCACAATAGTTATGATAAATAACACTTTATAAATTGTATGCGGCAGCAGCGGTTTTCTGAATTTACCTTGATCAGGAACATCAAAAAGCCAAATACTGGAAAGCCAATGATGTTTAAGTACCGAAATAATGATCCAAGTATTTATATGTTGAAGATGAATGTAAAGATGTAATATATATCTTTTAATAATATTAATGTTCGATATCCATTTTTAGTTCATATGGCACGTGACTCCGGAGAATAAATCTCGTCAGAAATACTCAAAATCAAAATTCAGAGGGAAAAGCATATTAAACCGTTTTGGGTCATCAAAATAAAAAGGACGCGGTCATAAATTGAAAATTAGATTAAGAATGAAAAACGAAAAGGAATACGGCTTTATGACAGCCAGCTAACGACACAAAATAACACAAATTGACGTATATTCATAGGTCCCCATAGGATCTTCAGCAATAGTCAAGTGTCTTGATTTGTCACCAACACATATTAACATTTGTTAATGTTATGAGCGACACGGCGAATGCTACAATAAGGAAAATTAATGCTTATAATATACTTTAATAATTATTCTTCGCAAGTATTTGCAGTCACCTATTCTTGTCTGCTCAAGGTATAATGATGAGGCAGCATTATGGGGGGGGGGGGGGGGGGGGGGGCTATGGTTTTTTTCTGAGACAAACTTTTTTTACAATGAGCCAAAATAACTTTAATTTTTTCGCCATCTATTGAAATCTCATCTCACTATCTTTTGTTATCAAAAATAAATGTTTGATTGATAGTTTGCCATGTACATGTTTATTTTGTACACCCCTAGTCAGGTATGGCTTTTCAATTCAGTTTCATTTTATAAACTTGAAAGGACATGTAAATATTCGGTGAACCAGTATATAATTCTGTTTAAAGAATATGGACCATCTTCAGCTTACCCTTTGGTATGAAGGTGCCATGGCCGTTGATGTAAGAACCATGGATACCCTTTGGATATATTTTATCCTCATTGGGTTGTTGTCTCTTTGACTTAATATTCACCATTTATTATTATTTCATCGGTCATTTATAATTTGGCTTTGTGTCGCTGAATACTGAATAGTTTTAGTTGAACTTCAAACTATCTACATGCATGCAACTTCATATTGAGTATGGTCGAACTCCTAGGTAGATGATTATTGGGTTGCTGATATTATAAGTCATAGAAAGTTTATACTGATAGTGATACTAGATACATTTGATGCAACTATATATGCTATTAAATGATTTAATAATAGAAACAAACCTTATACTACCCTGTCACTTTTCAGTCAGAGTTCTTTCTTCTCTTTCAGTTGGTAAAAATACACGACGTCCAACTTTTTTTTCATGTTTTGAATTAGGCAACAATTAATTTATTTTGTCATTTTTTTAAAACAAACTTTTTTTCTCTTCAGTGATCAGTCAAATTATTTTTTATATTGTCTATTGTGTGATTACCCCTTTGGTACAGATATTATAACAACCTCTGCTTATTTCACGATATGCATCATTTAGTAAATGGTATTTATATCCGTATTTTCATTTTTTTCTTTTTGTATTGTTGTAGACACCAGCAATCATAGTTTATCATGCACCTAATATATTTCAGGAATGTTACAATCATTGTGAGAAATTACATAAATGCAATCGAGATAGTATGGTCAAAGATAATCTTATATCACAAAAACCAGTGAGTTTTACCTTTTTTAGTTTATTGTTGAAATGTTCATATCTTTATGTTTTGATTTTAAAGTAAATCAGACTGCGATTCGTGAACTTTGAAGATAAGAAACGGCAGATGAATACTGTTGCATTTACGCAAAATAAAGTTGTTGGCGAAATTATTTTAGAGTGTACAGCTTTGGAACATGTATAATTTTAGAAATTAGAATTCATTATTTAGAAAATATTACCGATCATTCGTTTTATACTCAGCTCCTTTCTTCAGATTACGTGTAATAAGTTCAGATATATATATGTTGTGTACAAATTGTAATGTTGTACAAATTATAATTTGTACAGAATTTTTGTACAAGTTATCAGTGTTTTATGAACCGCTTAACACAAATGGATGATACAAGCACACAGTCTTTTGTTTCGCTTATTTCTGTTATATTTTTATGACTACATGATACAGTCTAATACTGAGCATTCATACAAAAAACATTATAAGAACACAAATAGACTTTTTATGGATATGATTTTGGTATAAGGAGAAAAATAAAAATTGAATTTAAACGATTCAGGTGTCCTTATTTCCAGTTTAAAGACAGGGAGAATAGCACTAAATGTTAGGTTGAAGTATATGAACTTGAATTTAAGACATTAAGCTGATTAATTTAAGAAGATAAAACTATTATCATCTGATGCAAAAAGGTATGTGCAAAAAAACTTATAACTTGTACAAAAACCCTGTACAAATTACAATTTGTACAAACTTACATCTTGTACACAACATATATATAAATATACATTTTTTATGGATAAATAATACATGTATATAAATCACATTCCTTTCATATCCCTGTTGATAGTCATACATGACTATCTAATGAGTCAAGCATTTTCCAACAGATTTTATAGTTTTTTCTTATGTTGTTAGACCACGTACTGCCCCGCGTTAATATAAGAGACGTTTCAACGCTCACAAAGTTTACATGTTTAACTATGCCACATTTGTCATGTGCCTGTCCCAAGTCGGCGGGTTATAGAGTGTTGCAGTTTTTATGCCCCGTAACTTTTATTTGGGGGGCATATTGTTTTACTCTTTTCCGTCCGTCCGTCCGTCCGTCCGTCCTTCCGTCCGTCCCATTATGGGTATATAGCTTTTCCTCCTACAGTTTGAATGCTAGAAAGTTTTCACTTTGCTGGCTGTTTGTACATATATTGAAAATGTGCAAGTGGTCAGGGTTTTAATTTTTATTGATATTTGCTCTTTTGGGAGATAGTTGAACTTTGTCATTTTTTAGTATTTACTTGCATAAGATGTGCATAGCGTTTCCGGATAACTCCTCCTACAGTGAACCATAGACCTATGTGCTCCCATGCTCAACTTTGTGTATTTTAAAATAACACTTTGCATCTGCGGGGGCATCATTTGTGTCTCCTAGACACAATAATATCTCAAAGAAAGTCCTACATTTAATTTGTTATAACACAGTTACTTCAGAGTGAAGGGCGGGGCATCACTTTGTCTAGTTATTATTTGGTCCAATTGACTTTGTTTTTTTATCATAAATCAGGCCGTTTTTTTATATAATTGCTAAACATTCTGTCATATTGAGGATTTTAACATCATTACATAGTATAGTTTTTGCTAATTGTTTAAGACCGTAAAGTGCCTTACAGTTGTTAAAATCCTCGTCATTTGGTCTCTAATGGATAGTTGTCTTGTTTGTAATCAAACCTCATTTCCTTATTTTTATATCATTCCTTTTTTATCAATTATAATATTTTAGAATCCAAGGGAATCCGAGGATATATCACAATTACAGAAACAGTTCTCAGAAGAGACGTCAAAATCTTTGCTACAAGTAAGTATGGACATAGATATAGGAAGATGTGGTATGAGTGCCAATGAGACAACTCTCCAACATGCATATTTTAGTTAAGGAGATGTTTATCAACGTCAATCAGAAAAAAATAATAAAAAAACACAAGGACAAAATATACATCTAACATGCATATTGCATAGATAGTATGCTATAGTTCCGAATTTTACTAATTACCTCAAAGCAAGAGTTTTAATGCAAAATTCTTTTAAAAAACACCTTCAGGAAAACACTCAAATAAAAAGTGAATAGTATACTTTGCAATCAATCAGTTTGCCATAAAAACATTAGTTTTTTCTGATTCTATTAATATAACATAGTTCAAAAAACAAGAATTTTCTTACTTTGAACACTTTCCATATAATTCCAGAATCTTCGAGACAACAGTTCATCCACAAATACCCTGTCAACAACATATTATGATTTAAAGAAACAATTTGCAGAAACTGACAAGGAAAGGACTGACATTTTTTTTGAAAAATCCTTAGACATTTGCTGGACAATGGTAGCATACTGTCCGCCATTAAAATTTTGCTTTGACAAACATATTAAAATTGACTGTGAGCAAAAAATAGACCTAACTGAAAAGGTGAGTCCAGAATCTACAAAGAAGTCATCTCAAAAGTCAAAGAAATCCAAACAAGACACAGTGCAGCTTGAATTGAAATATCCGGCTGTAGTACAGGCTCAGTACCTTATTGCAAAAGGACTAAAACAGAAGAAAGTTTTCGGGAAATGAATAGACTTCCTCAGTAAAGGTGCAAAATTGTACAAATTAGACTTAAAAGGTAGATTTAATATTTATATCGGAATCGCACTGTTCCGAATGTAATGGATAATAAGAAAGAGAGAGAGAGAGATGAACAAACACATATTGTATTTGTTTATTGATGGTGTACAGTTTCCCTTGTGACATTTAGTACAATTCTGTTGCTGTGAAGGAGACATAATTAACTTAGATATTTCATAGATATTTTGACCTGATCAACTTTTAAGTTCTATACCCAGAGTGTAAGTTTTCGACAAACTGCCATCTTTGTCATTCACTTTACTTTGTTAGAGTAATATGTTGTATATTTGCTCAAACATATGAAATAACATCCTTCCTTTTAGAAAATAATTCTTCAAAAAACTTATTATATAACAGAATACGTTTTACATGTAAAAGAAGGAGACACCGTCTTTTTTTTTTAATCTTACAATAAATATGATTAATAATAAATATCGCTCATGACCTTGTATGGTTTTCGTTGTTCTGTTTATAGGACCGTATAAGAGATATATTCCAGAATTAAGTCGTTGTGTGCACCAGGATTGGTGCTTATGTAAATAAATAATTAAAAGACTTTTAAAAAAGTGTGTACCCTAAGGAATTGAAGAAAGTCAAATAATCAATTTAATATATTATGTCAGAATTTCGATTTTAATGTGTGTAGCATGTGCAATAATAAAAGATATATTTACGATGATTTAGAGTGCTCAGGGTGATTCTGTTTTCATGTAAAAACAAGCATAAGGATGTGGTTAAAATGTTAACCACTTAAAATAAATTTGGTAAAGTAAACTCTCCTGAAATCTCAATTCCAACTGAATACAATAACATTTTTGTTAGTTAGGGATGTTTAACGTCCTCAAAAGCAACTTAATGCTCTTAGTCGGACGGAAATAAAATTTATATAATTTTGTCTTAAAAATTCATGAATCGGTATTAATGATTGCGGTTATAGTGCAGGCGGTTTGAGAAGTTGTTTCCTATTGTTTTGTTTGTCTTTTCCTTGGTGCAATTTATGTATGTTGTTCCTTACTGTATAATCAGATTGTAGAAACATTTATTTTATAATATTACACGGATAAAAAAAGTACTGTAGATACAACTCATATTCAATGTAGACTGGTGACACATCTAATGTAATACAGTTAAGCGTACCAAATGATGAAACAAAGCGCCATTCACATACATTTTACTTGTTACTACCACATATATATAAAACTGGGGTTTTTCATCGTTAATTTCCACCTTATATCAAATCGAAATCAAATCTGATTTGTTTTTTATCATTGATTGTTACGAACATACTAGTATTGTGTGAATAAACTCATCATAGATAAAATGATGTAGTCATTATTGTTTGAATGTCAAGTAAAATCATTATTGAAAATAGTATGGTTTGAGCATGATGGATCCCATTTAAAAAAAGTAATGAAATTCAAAGTAGACAGGAGACAAGTTTATAGTATTTAGTACTTTGACCGTTTTAATCGAAAACAACTGTACACATTTTAAACGAAAAAGGTCCTTATAATGTTTTTTTTCGAAATGATGCGTAACTATAATATTATTCTTACTTTAGAGTGGCAAACTTAATCAGAATGAAAACACCGAAGACGTTAAAAGAGAAAAACCTGTTTATTTCGACACAAGTACGGAACCGCCCGGATTGCTTGAAATATTGCATCGCACTTGCCTGCAACTGTTTAAGTGCTGTAGGTTTGTTCTTTGATCTACTCCCATCCGGAGCTTGTACATTTGAACCTAACTAACCTCAAATCACGTGATTCCTTATATCGCAATATAAGTGCTAAACGATTTTTTCTATATATATTATATTTACCAAGAAATGTGTTTTGCATGCACACGTATAAAAATTGCGGGTTTTATCCAACGCAATCATAGGTTTGAACGTTGTTTTCAATTTAGACTTGTTTTTATATATTTATATATATAAAACCTAATTGTTGAATTAACATTGATAATTCTTTATTTATTAATTCAGTTGACAGTTATTACAATAAATGTATCATTCTGAATAAAAACGTTTTAAAAACTATCAAGGATACCTTGTTTATAACTTGTTACCAAAGACGATGTTTCGTCGACATATGACGCATCAGTGGCGTTTGAAGGGAACATTTCAAACAGTTTTTAAATGAAAAAGGAGCGGAATATACAAAGGGGACATTCAAACTAATAAATCAAAGACATACTGACAACGACATGGCAAAACTAAACCCTCGAAAAGACAAACGCCCAGATATATCAAGAAAAACACCATACAGAAGACTGAGCAAAACGAATCTCATCAAAACCCCGGAATGATCTCAGTTACGCTGAAAGGGTAAGCAGCTCCTGCGTCACACGTAAAATATGATTATGGTCATCTGTGACACAAATATTCCATAACGGTCAATAAACTAGTGATGGCGTCAATAAAACTTTCAAAGGGATGACATAAACTTTAACACTTAGACCCTTAGTTCAATAACTTGCTTGTAAGCGGAAAACATGTCTTCTAATGCATTATTCTGGATAATATTCCATTTTATTCAACACAAGTTGAACTTGATTTGGCAACAGGTTAAGCCTAATATGTTGCACTCTCAAGGCAACAGGTTAAGCCCATTATATGTTAGCACTCTCAAGGCAACAGGTTAAGCCTAATATGTTAGCACTCTCAAGGCAACAGGGAAACAATAAACATAACACACATACAACATATGACATAAATTATTAACACATCATAACATTTTCACTTCTACTGACTTAGGCTTCAATAATTCTTAATATTTTCATACAAATATAAAATTTAATGATTTTTTTTTTTATTCAACATAAGAAATTATACATAAACGTCAAACATAGATGAATTTCTAGACTGTGTAAGTTGGCCATTCATATCAGTTTTACCAGTAAATGTTGCCTCCCTATAAGATAACGGTTTTGGAGTTCCTAGGCTTCTTTGGGTGTATTGTCTTACCATACAGTCTTCTTTGCTCATTGGTGAAGCTTTCTTCCTTGATCTGAAATACATTGTTTTTATTTTATAGCTGTGTAACTAACATTCATGATAGCAGAAATGCACTCGTGTCTAATTATTTCCTATTTCCATACCCGATAATCGGAAGTACATTAATGAAAGATATTAACTTGGTGAATTTGAATTTTCTTAAGCTGTATCAAATAAACAGAGTATGTCTGATGAAATTTCTTAAACTGTATCAAATATACAGAGTATGTCTGATAAATTTTCTTAAGCTGTATCAAATATACAGAGTATGTCTGATGAATTTTCTTAAACTTGTTAGTTTTCAATATTCATTTAATTATGATGTACAATAAATGAATTATAAAGAGCAAAGAACGTCCATTTTGATGCCACAAAATTCACTCTTTTCGAGGAGTGAACTTACCGTAATTTTTTACGCACACAAAATAAAAGTATCAGCAGGAGAATAAGAAATAAAAATGCTATGATTATCCCTATTGCTGTTCCTGTGCTGAATGAACTACTAGTACTTGCAACAATATTTTCTGGCTTTTCTGAAATAAAAGAAATACGATAATATGTTTATTAGTCAACTACTAATAATACGAAATGAGGAGATGTGGTTTTATTGCCGATCAGACAACTATCCACCAAAGTAAAAGCTGAGTGTCAATAATCAGTTATAGACTACCGAACGGCCTTCAACAATGAGAAAAACCAATATTGTATAGTCAACTCTGGTATTCAGTACGATGAAGTTATTATTCTTCAAGCATACATACATACATACATACATACATACATACAGGAACATTGGATTTAGTCTATCTACCTTACGTTGCGTAACAATAAAATATAAGGATGTCAAAAGGATGAAATTAATCTAAGCATTAAACAGGCTATTATTTAAACTTGGAATTATTTTTAATTATGGAATTTGCATAATTTCTTGTGTTTGAAATTTTTAATAAATTCCATGTTTATTTGGACTTTAATGTTCTGTGCTGCGCACAACACTTTCTATTACAAAGAAGATAGTACATTTTCAATAGAATGTACTGTGCCGCGCACAACACTATCTATACAAAATACATTGTATGAGAAGTGTTATGAACCGCTCAAAACATTATAATACCAAATAAACATGGAATTTATTAAAAATTTCAATCACAAGAAATTATGCAAATTCCATAATTGAAAATAATTCCAAGTTCAAATAATAGCCTGTTATTAGTTTTTCTGAATATTTTCCATATTTTATCCAACAGAACAATGTTGATCTATAACTAGTTAAATCAACTCAACACAAGGGTTAAGTAGATGAAAATATAATAAAGGATATTATATCTTTTGTCACTTCTGAAAAACAGAAGATCGGACATTTTTAGTTGAGATTAGGCTATACCGAAGGCAACGCATGAGTAGGAAAATGTAAATGTAGAATAGCCAGTCAAAAATGCTCAATCAGGAAAACTGCAGAAGATTGTAGTATTGTGTAATTTCAGTCGCATTTGATTATATCTGATGTGAGATTTAATTAAAAAAAACTTATTAGTTTTGTCTTTAAAAAGATTACATATTATATTGTACCTGAACCTGTGATAATATGAAATGTTGATAAATCTGTAGATGATGTTGATCGAGCTGGAAATGAAGTTACAACTACTGTTGATAAAGTTGTTACTTGCGCGGCCTGATTCATAGTTGTGTCTTGCCCTGAAGCGGTTGTGTCTGTGTGTATAGTGGTTTCTGATGTGGTCAATGTTTTCTCCGAAGTGGTAGTATACGGGGCTGTTGTAGTTTGCACAGCAATACTTGTAGTGTCTAATATAGTTGATGATATTTGCACAGGAGCGGTAGAGTCAGAGATTTCTGTTGTTTGCCCAGCAGTACTGGTTGTTTCCAAGGAAGTTGTTATTTGCATTGTAGGGGTGGTGACAGTAGTTGTTTTTATTTGTTCTGTTGTCTTGGTAGTTTCTAAGTAAGAAGTTGCTATTTTCTCTGTAGTTGTTGACTCGTATGTTGTTGTTTGTTTTTCAGTGGTAGTTGTTTCATCCAAAGTAGTAATATGTTGTTCAGTAGATGGTTCAACCATGGTTGTTCTCATTACAGTTGATGTTTCGGTTGTCGATGGTTCTTCTTTACTTGTCGTTGTAGCTGATGGTGATGTAGTAGTTTTCTGTGGTGCTTTTGTCTGAAATGTTGTTGGTATAAATAAAGGACACCCTTCTGATAATGTAGCATTCACTGTCATATCTGTTAAAAAATATTAATAGAACCATGAGGAAACCCATATATAGCCGTTGGATTTTGGCAATCATCTTTGAATAAACATATAATTAAACTAAAACTGTACTTATTTAAAGAAGAGATGCGAAAGATACCAATTAAAAGGGATATTCAAACTCATTAGTCGAAAAAAGACTGACAACGCCATGGGAAAAAGCGAAAAACGACAAAAAGGACAAAACAACAGAACATGAATGAACACAGTCAAACGTTTTGACAAATGGCAAATGCACCCATAAGTGTTTATATTCGTCACATGTGTAAACTGTATTTCAATTGTTTTTATTGCGCTTATCTGAATCATATGAGCACATATATATATTTTTTCATAACATGCGAGACGAGACCAATATATCATAATCAAATTAATATATAAGCTCTAATCTAATTTATGTAAAAGAATTACTTTCTATGTTTGTGATTTTTCATTTTGTTGTTTTTCAAACACGTTATCAGTAGCCTAAACTGACTTACATGTAGAACAGACTTATTTACCATGCTTACTTTTATTTTGTTAAAATGTGCTGATATGCATGTCACAGTAGCAAAAAAAAAAAACAACAAAAAAAAAAACAAAAAAAAAACAGTTAACATGCACTGCCATGTAATTAGTTGAATGTTATTTTTAACTTAAATATCAAACGTATACATTGTGAATGACACCAATAAAAAGAGCATGTTTCTTTATAAACGTTATATTGTTTATATACAATTCATATATATTGTTAATCATTGACATTATAAGAATCAAACTTATATGTTACACATTCAGCGTATTAAGATCTAGATATACTTCGCACATTCCTAATGTTTGTTCCGATAGGAATCCGTGTTTAACATTGCATATACTTCACTTACCAAGTCTAATGACCAGAGTAGGGACCAGGTTACATAAATAGACATAATCCTGTACAGATAAGGCGTAGTAGCTATCGGGGTCATTGGCTATATCATTAAGTTCATCAGAATCTTGTGTCGACCCTATGCCTATAGAAAATATTTCGGCACCAAGTTCTGACCGTGTACGATCTGCCATAGTTACAGTCTGGATATAGTTCAAGGAAGCACCATCTGTTAAAACAACAACAGCCCTTTCAGCACCAGACCTTCCTCCGCTACTTTCGTTAAATGATGTTGTAAGAACAAATTCCAACGCGTCAAATGTAAAAGTACCACCATAAGATGTCATGTTACTAAGACTTTCTATTGCAGATAGTAAATCGGTTTTGTTTGGAAAATTTCCAAGGTTGAACTCTTCTGTGACATTATCACTGAATGTCACTAATGATATCAATGCATTGTTGTCTCCTATCGTCAACCATACAGTAACGTTATAGATGAATTCAATAGCATCGGTAACGTCAGATGCATCCAAACTACCAGATCTATCAAGAACAAATACAACATCTGTAAGAAAATTAAAGATATTATTATTAAACTGCATGACCCTTATACCCATACAAACGCCCAAATATATCAAGAAAAATACAATATATGCAAGGACATTAAACATAAATATTATGATCATTAAATTGTATATCACCCTTATACCCGTACAGACAACTATCAAGAACAAAAACAACACATGTAATCATCAAACTTTATGCCCTTATACCTATAGAAACTCCCACATCTATCAAGAAAAAATACAACATCTGTAAAAGAGATGTGGATGGTATCGAAGTGATGTTCAAACTCATAAGTCGAAGACTTAACTGACAACGCCATAGCAAACACGTTAATAACAGACTACAAAACAAGACATAGAAAATGCTTAGCAACACGGACACCACCATACACCAGGGTGATGTGAAAAATAAATCATATGAACTGTTTAACGCTTATACCAAGTCAAACGCTAACATCTGTAAGAACAATAAAGATATGGTCATGAAACTGTACGCCCCTTATTCCCACACAAAGAGCAAAACCAGATATGTACAAAAAGATACAATCATTATACTGTATGTCACTTATACCAATACAAACTTTCAGGAACTCTATCAAAAACATAAACAACATACATTGTATGTAAGAAAATAAAGCATATGATCATTACACGGTATGCCTTCCCCTGTTCCAAATCAAACGACAAGATTCACAATAATAAAAACACCATTATACTGACTAATAAAAACTCCCATATCTACCAAGAATACAACATAAGAGAGACAATGTTTTAACATAAAATCATTAAAGTGTATCGCCTTCATTCAATCATAATCAGTATAATAATAATAATAATAATAATAATAATTAAAAACTTTGAAGGTCTTTCCACTTCTTACGATTCATTTTGATATGAAAATATTAAAATACGGTTTAAAGTGTCATATACAGTGTCAAATGATACCTTTATGTACACTGATTCCAAAAATATACGGTTTCTTAACAATTCTAATGAAATAAGGGAGATAATTTCTTATTTCCGGTCTGAAAAATGTCACTTCCGGTATTATCTGATAGTTTACTTGACACTGATTCCAAAATTATATGGTTCTATATACTTTAACATCAAATAAGTACAAAACAAAGCTACTTCCAGTTTACACAAAGTCATTTCCGGTTGGATTTTCATGCTCAAGTAAATTGCAACCTAATGAAAAAAGTCCCATGGCTTTATCGTGTCTTAATATGAAGTTAATGCAAAGGTCAAAATCTAGAACGTCAATTTCAACTTTGACCATTAGCTCAATTTTAAGGTCATAAACCAAGGACCTTTAATCAAATTAACCTAGGTCTTTATTATACTTGGAAAATGAGTTATACCACCATACATGTAATTTTAAATATAAAAAGGGAGAAAACTCTCCTTTACGGTCAACGTACCTGTGCAATCAAAGTTTACGTGTTATGACATGTCGCAACTAACAATTTAGTTAATATAATTTGTCGATATCTTATACGGTTTTTGAAAATAAGTGAAAATAAGCCAAAATCAAAAGTTAGAATATGACCTTGACCTTTGACCTTGAGCTAATTTTCATTTTTTTGGACCAAGGACCTCAAATCAAGAGACCCTAGGTCTCTTTCGCTTATGGTTTACCAGTTAGAAATGCATGCCACGCCAATCAAATGAATAAGGGGGAATAACTCTCATATGGAGTCTCCGGAGTGCTTCGGTCAAAACCTAACTCAACATCCTGAAGACATAGCGAACAATTTGGTACAATAAATTTGTCATAATCTTTTACGGTTGCGAAGGAGTAATGGCCACAAGAAAAACAGTGTTTGGGGAGATAACTCTTACAAAAAAAAGTGTTCGGTTAAACAGGGCGTAAGGGTCAGTTTCAAAAGCGTATAAACTATTCGATATCATATACCAAATATCTAAGCGACATCTTGTGAAACATTAATACTACGCAAGAAAAAAAATTAGGCGGAAGAAAAAAAAATGATAATCAGAACAATAGCAATAGGTCTTTCCACGGAAAGGTGGAAAGACCTAATAACAATTCTTTACTTTCATACAAGTAAAACAAAAGACTTGTGACTAATACATATATATTAGTACTGCATAGTGTGATTATCCCCAATATTGGCTGATTTAAAATTTGAAAGTTCCATAATAAAAATGTATTTTATTTAATTATCTTTTTTTTTGTTATTTGTTTTGTTCGGTTGTTATCACATTGACATATACCTCACATTATGTTTTGCTAATTTACCATACATTTTTTTTTTTTTTTTGCTTTTACATTATTGTTTTTTTTATTCTCGTGTTTTATAAGTTGTTAAAAGATTACTAAATAATGAACAAATAACAATGTATAAGAAATCATAATTATTTACCTTTTGGACCTTGACAAGAAGCTATATAAATTAGGATCATTCCTACAAATATTCTATGCATGTCAAAAATTAAATGTCCATTTTAAAATGAAAAGTAAACATTTAAACATTTAGTTTTGATTATTCTCTGTATATTATTTGTAATTCATTGGTGATTATTTTTTGCTTGTATGGTTCATTTGTAAATTGAAATTAATACCATTGCGGTTTGGTTAACTGTGTCAAATCAACTGATAATTAATTGACAACAATACACAAGAAAATTTTATGATATTTCTAAAGACATTAACACTTCAAACAAAATTTGAACAAAATTTCCCTTCTGTTTTATTTCAAAATATTTATACATTCATTTGTGCATGCATATCTTAATCTTTACACTAACGGTAACGGCTTATGTTTCTCTTCAAAATGCTACTACTGCATGTACGTACATATTGCAGTGAACTAGTGAGGCATAATGGTTAAAACAATATAAGTACATATTTACATTTATAAATGTTTTATCCATTATTTTGAATAGTAGATAATAATCATATGATGTTTTTTAAAATAATGTTTATTTCCAATAAACGCAAAATCCAAGATTGCATTCCATGTCAACGTTTTCACTATGCAAATGCTTGTTTAAAGCAGATTAAAAGAAAAGTTTTATTTACATAAAGACTGCAAAAAAAAAAATGTAATGAAAAGGATATAAACGTCAATACAGGTCAAAGAAACAAAGACTAGCACTGGACAAGAAAGTCCATCTCAGGCAGGGTGGAGGGACCCAGTAAGAACGAAGAACGTTTAATCCAATACCTAATGTTGGGAGTGCCACGCCCTGTACGTTAAATAGCTCGTTGAGGAATTGCAAAAGTGACCTATTGCAATTTTCTGTCCATGTCCAACATATTTTCTTTTTCATGTCCAAACTTCCCACCCTTCATTGATCCGGAAGATCATGTTGCTGGTTCTATTAATTGCTCATAGTGTTGATTTGTCCACGTCCGGAATATAGATGCAATAATTTCTTCTGAATTTTAAGTTAATAAAAACAATTCAAATATGACGCCCTTAAAACGCTTTTAAAATACGAATGTTTGATACATTATGTTAATTTCTAAATGAAAAATAATGAAACATATGGTATGGGTATGTCGCCATTTTCCTCAACTGTGAATACTTTTGTGGATGGTAATATATTTTTTAGTAACCAGCGAATATTTACAAGTTACACAAGGACAAACGTGCAGTCTCACACACCATATGCATAAAAATTATATTCTGTATAAATATATATGTCCATTTTATTTTTGCAATGTGGTATTTCCTTTATTACTTGTATTGTTCGGTATAATAAAATACTTAATGGCTGATTATGTGAAGAATAGCAATTTTGTTAAACCAAATATTTTGTCATCGGCTTCGCCTCGAGCAAAAAATAGTTTCTTAAGAACAACAAATTTACTATTCACCTCATAACCAGTCAATAAGATATAGGGTTATATGTCATCTGATCGTTAATTTTATAATTTGTTTTGTTTGTTCCAATTTACTTGCAGTTTTGAATGAACAAGGAAACAAATAATCAAAGCGATCATGCTTCATACGCTCTTATATTGCGATTGTACTTCGGAAAGGATTAAACATAGAAAATGATTAACAATAAACGAAGAAAGGATCTTTAGCAATAATGATAATCTCAGTGCAGAAAAAGAAACGAAACATTTAACTTTAATAAGCGTACGAGCGAATTGTTTTTAGAAATAAAAATACAATTAACTATCTAATCGTTAAGTTACCTTTACCAGCGAGTGCATGTATATTGAGCCTAAAGAAAGGTTCATCTGAACATTTTTTGTTTGTTTGCTTAGTCGTTTAGTTTTGGAGAACATGATTCATTTATTAGTTGTAATTGACTTTGAACTAGCTTTCAGTAACTCCGAGTACTCTTATTTCTGTGCTTTGTGTCTATTCTATTTGTGTATTTTGTTTTTGTGCCTCGTACCGATCTTTAGAGTTGAGCCAATTACAACTGATTTTTACAAATGTTTCTCATGTTGTGCTGTTGCGCCACTATTCAAAGTTAAGGGTGGGTTGAGCGCTCACAAACATGTTTAACCCCCCCATATTCTGTATGTGCCTATCCAAAGTCCGGAGCATGTAGTTCAGTGGTTGTCGTTAATTCATGTCATATCTTCTTTTCGTAAATTGTTTTGTAATGAATTAGGCCGTTAGTTTTCTCGATTGAATTGATTCACATTTTTCATGTCGGGGCCTTTTATAGCCGACTATACGGTAAGGGTTTTTCTCATTGTTGAAGGCCATAAGGTTGGCTATATTTGCTTACACCCTCTTCATTTGAACTCTGGTGGATAGTTGTCTCACTGGCAATAATACAACATCTCTTAAGCTTTGTTTTTATATTTTAAATTAATATAACCGTTTCGTTAGAGAGAACTAACTATTTTTCACAAGCTCAGTGTGTTTTCTATATTGTTCACTATGTTGTTGTTTGAAATCTATTTCTGTGTTTAGCGGAATCTACAATAGTGTGATGTGGCATGGTGTTTATATCTGCGAATTAAGTTACAATGTATATTATTTAGCTTTCCTTTACTCCAAGCAAAATCATATGTTGTTTTCATTGTTGTTCATATACCTGAAGTCATGTTTTTTATATCGTTCTTATTGATTTATATATTTTATGGACTGATTTTGCTTTTCTCTGTCCATATTCTTTGTTATTCTATACAGAGTGCGATAAATGGATGGATACATTTTGTGTAAACTGTACCACATTTGAATGTGTTTATTGCTGCATGTTGACTTCTATGTGCTTGCTTGTTTTTTATATAGACTTTAATATTATCGTAGTCTACGTATCTATCAATGGACCTTAGCTTCTTTGGTAATGCATATACTGATAAATAGTATGCTAAGCAGTTTTCTGCGAGTTTAATTTGTAGATCGACCAAGTCACTGTTTTTATTTCATAGATAAATACATGTCTTTCAAGGTACTAAACATTGAAAACAAATTCATGAAATACAATTAAGTATTATCATTTTCTAACAAAAATTCACATAAGATACATTTTAACTATCAAACCAGGCAAGAATATTAACATGAACAGAGTTTTGTCGTAAATGTTATAGAAATCTATAGTAAATGTCCATGATAACGTATTGTACAGGGAAAACTTTTGTTTTGCGATATAAATTAGATTAAAAAATAACCTGAACCATTACATTTAACTTCCCTTAAATTTTAGTTTAATCAAAACTGGAGCAGGTAAAGTTAATAAAGTAATACTGAATCAGACTGTACATATATAAGACACCTTACATCGGCACTGTGTAGTTTATTTAACTCATTGATTTGGTTTAGATTCTGGTGTAAACTGAAACATATCTCTGTACATAATAGAACTCAGAGATGTTGTTGATTCACGATTCAATGTAAACATAGACGATTCTGTCAACTCTTTGTTCATTCCTGAAGTCCACCCGTTGTTTGACAGTATTGAAGGTTCTCTAAATATAGGTTTCCCTTGTACTGCTGGAGTGTCGGAAGAAAATTCGATGTTTTGGTATGCTTCATTTTTCTCCTTTGGTTTCCTGCAAAAGGGAGTTCCTTTAATAAATCATTTAACAATGCAAACAAAAAAGGTATCTAATTTGTTTTACTACTTCTTGGTCGAATATTATGCCACGGGTTGTAGACCTGAAGTAATTAGGGTATTATAATAGGCAATGTCTTTGTACTAGTAAATGCATGCTATTACTTCGATATATTGATATTTGGGGAATTTTCAACCAACTAAACTATGTAGAACTTGTAAGAACTCTAAGGTTGCTGTTTTTGCGAACAGGTATATATAATAGTTATATAGTATATATATAATCAATGATAAGGTACTACTGAATTGTTTTACTAGAGAATACAATCACGCTTCAACTAATAACCAGAGGGGTATCTTTATTTTTCTTGTTGTTAGTTTTATTGACCTTTCAACGTTTGTATTCGGTTTGGACTTCCAAATATTTTGGTCACGAGCATAACTGAATACAACATTATTCGTGAAATACGCACATGGTGTTGTCAGATTGGTACCGTTAAAGTGTTATAGTTTGTATCTGTTTTTATTTTATTCCCGGTTATTGCTGTTAAGTTGTTATATTTTTGAAAGTCCAGCATTATAGATATACTTATTATATGATATTTATTGCACTGTGGACTTTCTGTTATCTGTTTATTTTATGCGAGGTTACAATTTGCTGGTGTACATGTATATTAACAGATTTCGTCTTAGGTAGCCTTTCCTTTGACCAAGTTTCTCTCTAAGCTTAAAGTTAATCAAAATCAGCTGCTTTTGGTCATAATTCACTCGTGTTCCTATAAATTTAAATCCTAGAAAACTGTTTTTGTCTATAGTTAGTAATTCTCGTAAGCATTTCATGTTCATTTATACACATCCATTGTGTGGTATGCTATATATTTTTCTATTAACTTATAAAAACCAAATATATTTAGATTTTATTGTTAAACGCCACCTTCAGCGCTATTGTGCTATTTTGTGGTGGTCGGTTTTATTGTTGGAGGAAGCCAAGTGATACAGTAGTTCTACTACTTAGACCACTCGGCCACCGAGGCCCCTATTTAGATTCTAAAAAGTTGTGTAGTATCCTTAAAGATTTAAATAAAGGCATACCTCTTTTTCTTTTTCAGAAACAAAATACAACATATCAATAATAGGATGATTAGAATAGCAGAAAGGATTGCTGCAATAATCCATACCCAATTACCTGCAAAACAAATTAATGCATATGACAACTATGATTTTCAATTGCCAAAAAATAGGGCAATACACACAGTAGAACGGACTTCAATTGTTTAAAAAAACGATCGAAGAGGTTCGGGTTAAAAAATTTTGGCTGTGTATAATAGTATAATAAACTCAGCTAAAACAATAGATTCAATGCCCCATAGCTACTTATTTTAAATCAAGCAGACCTTTCATTGTAAAAAAAAGATGAATAGTATTGATGAACATTTGCATCATATGCATCCAGAAGTTATATAAAAACCAGCAATATAGTCCTGAAACTTGCATGGCGGGTGATGCATGCCTAACAGGAAACGCTTACTCTGTCAGCGCACTCGGCCTAGCTACTTTTGAAGTTCCTGCGATTCCATCAGTTTTGTTTTTAACCTTGATTTGTCGATTTATGAAAATTGAACATCGGTAAATAGTTGTAGCCTTGGTTCGTGTTATTTAGAGTGTTCGGTTTGTATTATGACGGCGTACAATTGCACCTGAGATATTATAATCCACACAATGTTTTCTGTCAGCTTATGTATATTATCTTATCTTGACCGTTTAGGTGAACTAAATCAACAGTTAGAGATTCAAATGTAACTTACAGTTATTAGTAATAATTTCTACTACAGTACTTTCTTATTGATAACGGAAAAGGGGTAAAAGATTATTGATTCATTACAAAAAAATACTTCTTCAACTTTAAACCCAAAAGCAACAGAATGGAACTTTAATTGCTTGAAATTCGTTATCCAAACGCCACGCCCATGTCTCATTACAAAGTCAAGACGGTCCCTTCCAAAGCGGCTCGTAGCACATGTTTGATACACAAATTTTATGGATGTATATTAAACAGTTGTGAACTGATAATACATCTTAAGCACAGAAATCCACAACAAAGGCACAACGCTTGTATTGCTAGAGTTCATCTTGTAATACTTACTAACAAGTTATTATACAACCCTTCCCCAGGTTTTTCATTTCATTTTTCGTTGATATTTAAATAAAATTAACTTGTAATAGTTGCACTCTTTCGTTTCGAAATATTTTGTAATTCTTTCTTTAGAATACCAATGAATTGTTTGTTCCTCGTTGGTTTTTTCAGAATCTTAAATGTTACAATTAATGGCACCTTGCATGATCTACATATCATAAAAAGATTTTTTAAAATGGACTCATCTTATTTTGATAATGAGCATGAATGTTTAGAATTATTATATGACAAAAGAAAAAAATATTTCTTTACGTACTCGATGAGCTATCGGTCTCTTCTAGAACTGCAGCAGCTTCTGTTGTAACGCCAGGTTCTAATGGACAATCACTAGCAACGCTGGCTACAGCACCTGCATCTGTAAAAACATTTCATTCCATTCATTTGGATTATAGAAAAAAAAATTAACGAAAATGCGACACTCCTGTAAAGAGAGAGAGAGAGAGATTATAAAAAAAAAATAGTTCAACTTGAAATAAATTGACTGATTTTGGAGAGAAGAACTGACAGTTTGTCCATGTTGCCATTTTATGCTGACTGGCATATTTTGCATGCGTTATAAAAAAAGGTTTTACTAAGATAATGAAAACATACCTTAATTTACTTTGCCTTTACGCCAAAGACTTTTACTATTTCAGTGTATAATTCTATGAACATATTTTTTAGATATTTATGATGAATGATTATTTTCAAATTCAGATACTTACCAAGCTTTGGAACTAAAGACGGAATCATGTTACAAAGATATACAAAATCGGAAACAGAATGCACGTAGTAACTGTCTGGGTCGTTAGCAATTCCGTCTATTTCGATTTGGTCAGGCTTACTTCCAACTGCAATCGAAAATAATTCAGCAGACAAATCGTTACGCAGCTTATCTGCCATAGCGATAGTTGCTACGAGATCAATTGACGCCCCATCGGTCATTACAACAACCAATTTTTCAGCTTCGTCACGTGCCCCATCAGACGTTAATGTGCTATTGCGCACGTGATTCAATGCATTATAAGTATAAGTCCCGCCGTTTGTTGACATCCCTTTTAAGTTGGCAATTGCAGACAATAATTCTTCTTTTGTAGAGTAATCGTTAAATTTTATTTCAGTTTGCACTTCGTCATTGAAAGTGACGATCGAAATCTTTACATTATCGGAGCCAATGTCGAGATATGACGTCACATTATAAATGAAGTCTATCGTTCCATTTATATCGTCTGATGTTAAACTTCCAGATCTGTCTACAACAAATACTATATCTGAAGAAAAAAACAAACAACTTGTTACTAAATAAAATATAGAATAAGCATAAATTGATCTTCAATTACAATATATAATACATGTAGTATGAATTAAATGATATGTTATTTATAAAAAAAAGGATAACAAGATTCGCCACAAATACCACACAGTACAACGGATCACACTCACCTCCGATACCCGATTAAAAAAATGACACAAAAAAAGACTAACAATAATGAATAACACATATATACATATATAAATATATTGAGATGTGGTATGATTGCCAATGAGACAACTATCCACCAAAGTTCAAATGAAATGGATGTAAGCATTATAGGCAACCGTACTGCCTTCAACAACGAGAAAAACCCATACCGTATAGTCGGCTATAAAAGGCCTTGAAATGAAAAATATGAAACAATTCAATTGAGAAATCTAACGGCCTTATTTATAACAAAACTATTTACGAAAAACAAATATGACAGATATGAACCAACGACAACCACTAAACTACAGGCTCCTGACTTGGGACAGGCACATATATATAAAGAATGTGGCGAGGTAAAACATGTCTGTGAGCACTCAACACTCCCCTTACCTTGGACAGTGGTGTAACAGCACAACATAAGAACAAACTATAAAAATCAGTTGAAAAAAGCTTAACTCATCAGATCGATACGAAGAAAAACATAAAAAAGAAAAAGAAAAAAAAAGACACTAAGTACAGATCTAAGATTACTCGCAGTAACGGACAGCTAGTTCAAAGCTAATAAAAACTAATAAAAAAAATCATGTATCTAAACATAAAAATCAATCAGTACACATCCAACATCTAATGGGTTTAGTGTAAAGACGTCATTAACAGCCAGAGAAAAACATGACCTTGTGCAATGTCAAAATATAGATATCGACAGATTGCTGTACCGTGAAAGTACATAATTATGTGTAATATTTAGTATGGTTTTAATTTACTGATAACAAAATCAATATTTATACCAATAAAAACAATATTCAAAGATTTTATTACAGTGTTGAATAGGTAACCTTTTAGAATAAGTTTATTTAAAGGATTGATAAGTTTACCCGGATCGTATCTAAATTTCCGGGCTCAGTTTACAACATCTACGTAAAATTTAGGATGTGCTATTCCGTTTGAAATAAGTTTTCTACAGGTACAGCCAAACTTGCAAACCAAATCTTTGTATATATGGAAGAATTTAGTACAGGTTTTAAGTACTTTGTGGTAACGAAATCCCTGACTCAATAATTTTCTAATAATACATAGATTACGCCCATTGAAATTCAAAACGTCACTACAGACACGAGCATAGCGAACGAGTTGGGATATATATAAACACCGTAAGACGGTGCCAAAGGAACATTACCGTCCAAAAAAGAAAAACTAGCAATAGGGAAAGAAAAATCATCCCTTTTGTCGTAAATTTTTGTATAGAGTTTCTGGTGTTATATTGAAATATCTAAATCTAGGAAAGGACAGTTATTGCTGTTCATATTTGATTTATTTAAAGTAAGTTCCTTTGGTTAAATTTCAGAAGTATATTAAGAGCATTTTTGATTATATAACGAAAAAATATCACCAAGATAACGGTAAGTGTTGTTGAATTTATCAATTAAATGGAATTTAGACGGTTCTTTACTGACATAGTCTAGACAGCCTAACTGGTGTTCTGCGATTATTACAATCCAGTTTACGCGCGCATTAACCTTCCATATTGATGTATGACTAAACCATAACATAAAATCGTGCATAGTGCAGCTAATAACAAGATTACCTCTAAATTGAACAAGGAAATACGTATACAAAAAGCAAATAATTTAGAAAACGTCAAAAAAAAAATGTCGCTCTCATGATTAAGAAGCTATTAATGGAAGCTATAGCTGTTGGAATTGATACCTTCCGCTCGAAACGTGAAATATACACACCATACGTGCGGCAAAAGGAACATCGTCGGTCTAAAAGGAAATATTTGAATGAAAAGTTGAAATGTTTCTTATTTATTATTTTTCATGTTTGTACCAGTTATGCCTACATATCTATAAATGGACGAGATTGACGGCGGCTACATGTATCATTAGCTTTATTTAGCTGAAATTCTTTTGTAAAATTCATCCAGCATACTGAAAAATCAAACAAACACAAGCTACCTTATCAGCCGGTTTCCAAGGCAACCAGACAGCCAACAAACATCCCATTCAGTAAAATAAAACAGAAAGTTACAATAAGACCAATCAACCTACCTCCTTCCCCGGGCCCCTCCCCCTTTCCGAGTCAATGTGGATAAAAGGAGAAATGGGGTATAAATCAAGACAGGAACTCTTTTGTGATGTTTTGAATGATTAAAAAGATAAAACTTATAATAATAGGATCTTCTGCCATTGTGTCGAAAAAAAAACGACAAATAAAAAACTAGACATAAGCAGTCAAAAAATAAAATAAGTTTCTGATTTGGAACAGGCACATTAACTCATATAATTGAACATTAAAATATTAAGCATAAATTAGTTACTCTATATGATATAGTGTATAATGTATATTTTATTTTATATTTTAAAACAACAAGCAAAAACCTTCGAAAAAAATAATTCAAGGTTGTTTAACATATGAATATCAAATAAATTATTTATTTTCAATTTGTAGCAATTCTGTTCTGTATATTCTTTTGAACAATATATTTGCCTAACGCAAAAGTTAATTCATTAGAAGATATGTGTATTTGCCTAACGCAATACACATATCTTCTAATGAATTAACTTTTGTGTATAATGGAAATTAGCTTAATCATGCGCACGCTGTGATTACTATATAAGTCTACCTTACTCCCGAATAGTTCTAATTTTCAATCTTTTTCTGAAGTTTACAAATTTTTACTTCAAAAACAACAGGGTCTGACCTTTAACATTTAAAAAAAGTATATAATTGGGTTGCACCTTTGTTTTAAACATCCCACGACATGTACCTACGTGCACATTAGGTAATACTAAATACATGGATATCAAAATATTTGAAAGGTTAACTTTGTATCGGGTTATTTTTACAAATTAAAAACACGGATATTTTTTATCTTCTTTTCACAATTACTTAAAACAACACTAGATTCAAAGATGCTGAATTTCTCAAAACGTGGTTACCTACCTAAAAGCTTAAAATCTTATCTGAATCTTTTCCAGAAATATTTCCGTGTATTTATTCAGCTTATTTGCACAAATATTTATTTTAATAAAGTGTCAAGAAGATTTACGGATGTAGATAAGTGCACTGAAAGTGAGAAATGTGCTCTTACTTAATTCATTATCTGTATTGTGTGGGTATAATACTTTATCAACCGATATATGTTGGTATCAAAAACTGTTAATGCAAGCCATGCATTATTTGATTTTGTCTTTCAACTGTTTTGGTCCGAGCGACACTGATGAGTCTTTTGTAAACGACATGCGCGTCCGGCGTACAAAACTATCAGCCTGGTATCGTTGATGACTTTTATTACATACATGTATGAATTAAAAGAAGATGTTGGGAAACAAAACCGAAACGACATCTCAAATTCAACATCCTGTTTTCAACCTATAACCGTATCGGCCATATATTAACAGAGACTATCAGATTAATTTACGGTTTCGGAAGACCCTTTTTAATCACTATCTGCTTTATCTAAGGTTCTTTGAAGCGAGAATGCCCTGTGAAGACGAAGACGTGTTACGTGTATTAGTTGTTTGGTCTTTTTCATTGGTCAAAACTAATGTTTTATCACCAATTTAATGTCTGCTGTATTGTTGGCCATTTAACATTATAATTATACGATGTTAACAGAATGCTGGTCGAACTTGAACTTGAACCTTCTTGAATAGATGAGAAAGTTCTGTCCGACACACCTTGAAGATTGAAAATCTGAGATTAGGATAGTGTCTATTTTGAAAATGAATGAATTATTTATGTTCATCCATCACATTCTTAAAATTGAATAAACGAGGTTCATGTAGAGCCTTTTCCCCATGAATTTGTTTTGCATACAGTTACAAAAATTAAAAAAAGTTGTTAAAACCTACAAAAATTTGAAAATAAGGTCTATGCAATAAACTTTAAAGAATTATCAACAATCTCACACATTTTCATAAAATCAAAATGTTATTAAGTTCTACATGTACATGTACATACACTGTCTGTGGAAATTAATTGTACAAGTTTTATGAAATATTTGCATCGAAGGACATCTCTAACTAAAATGAATAAATTTGTTTAAAAAGGCAATAATATGTAGAAATGCCCAGAATAGGATTTTGGTACATTTTAGATACGACTCAAATTTTGTAAGAATCTATCAAAATTACAATTTTTAACCATCTTAAGGCATTTTCAATTTATTCAAATGTTCAGAAACTCGCAAAAATTGTCTATAATTGCTTACATCCACTTTATTTGAACTATTGTGGATAGTTGTCTCATTGGAAACCATACCACATCTCCTAATTTTTATATTAAATTCATACAAATACATAATTTATGAATCTTTAAGTTATGAACTTGTGAATTTAAGTATAGATCGAAGGATTTGTCAACAATGGCTTTGTTTGTGAAATAAATCCATGCAGGGGAAATTGGTCCTACATGTACATATTTGTACATTGTGTGTCTTCTCCTAACTACTAAATGTTCCAATATCCAAATCGTCTTTCATTATACAAAATAATAACTTCGCTTCTATTTTTTTAAGCACAATACACAAATTGAAATCAACTACATTTTTAGATATAAATATTACCTTTCTTTGCACACTCGAACAGATGTAGCAATTTTCCAAACGTGATGAAAATCAAATAGACTTTCATCGTTCGAAGTTAAATCATAAAATCATAATACGTCTCACCCACTTCGCACTTCATAATATTTTTAATTTTCACGCTTATTAACGAACACAATAACAGGTATATTTACTGTCTTTGTTAATTGATTAACCGATTGTATTGAACTACAGTTAAAACAAAGTGCAAAAATAATATAACAACAAGTCAATGAACTAGTTAAGTGACGAAAGTTAAATCTTTGGCGAAAGTTCAATAATAAAGATTATCATCAAATGGTTTTTTGTAACAAACTTTCAAATATAATCTTCGTTGGTTAATTCAGAAATCACTTTGACATTAAAGTTCCAAATTCCTATGGCAAAGTTGACTTTTAAAATAGACGAATTTGGGTATTTTGTTTAGGTCCCTTTTGGTCATATAGCTTCTAACGTGTCTACGTATTCTTTGCTTTCAACTGTTTTAAGATTTAGTGTCCCTGATGAAAGTAAATCCAGAAACTCTCTTTCTCTTCGGACACACGAAAATGATTTAGCGTTAATTTTTCTATTAGTTTTCTCATCACTTGGCGTCCGTCGTCGTCGTCCGTCGTCGTCTGTTAATTTTACAAAATTTTTCTTCTCTGAAACTACGGGGCCAAATTTAACCAAACTTGGTCACAATCGTCATTGGGGTATCTAGTTTCACAAATGTATCCGATAACCCCACCTGCCAACCAGGATGGCCGACATGGCTAAAAATAGAACAAAGGGGCAAGATGCAAATTTTGCCTATTATTTTGTTAACCGCTATAAATAGAGAAAATCTGAGGGGCAAAAATGTTCAGAATGTTGAGATCTACCTATAATATATAATTGGTTATTTACGTCAAAACTGTCAGACGACTTCTTATTGGAGTTATTGCCCTTAAATGATAAATTTTACCATAATTAAATTTCTTTGTCTATTATCTTGAAAATTATAATAGATAGACAGAAACTTTAAAGGCAAAAATGATCAGCAAGACAAGATCTACAAATAAATCAGCATAGCTGAAATCTTAAGTCGACTCCTTATTAGAGTTATTGCCCTATAATGACGATTTTTACCAATTCTTTTAAAATGTTTGCCTCATATCTTCAAAACTATATTAGATAGATAGAAATTTTGAATAGCAAAAATGATCAACAAGACAAGATTACAAATAAGTCAACACAACCGATATTGTTAGTCAACAGTTACTCCTTATCAAAGTTATTGCCCTTTAATGAAGAGTTGTATTTACCATTTTTGCCTATTATCTTGAAAACTGTATTTTTTTAGATAGATAGAAACTTTAAAAAGCACTTATGACCAGCAAGACAAGATCCGCAACTTAGCCATAATCAGTAGACTCGTTATTGGAGTTATTGCCCTTTAATGGGTAATTTTTAACATTTTTGCATTTTACCTATTATCTTGAAACCTATAATACATAAATAGAAACTTTTATATGGAATAATTATCAGCAGGATATAAGATCTTCAAATATGTCAACATGACTGAAATTATCAGTTAACTCTAGAGTTATTCCCCTTTAATGATGATTTTTACTTAAAAAGTGGTTATTGTTGAAGATGCAGGTGAGCGACACAGGCTCTTTAGAGCCTCTAGTTTTGTTTGTTATCCAACGTTCTATTTGCAAATACACATGTATACCCGAAGACCATTATACGTATGGTCGATATTCTGGAAATTCCTACAGCCATAACATACGACACTTAATGTTATCATCTTTTTATAAAATAAATACGCAATGTGTATTGTTTGCTTACAGCACAACGCACTTGTTACATGTGCGCTCTATCGTTTTGCTCTGAGATGATTAAAATGGTGATGATGATGATAGGGGTTTAATGATCAGTGGCAAAATAAACATGATGCACATCAGGACGAGAACATTTGAAATTTTATATGATTATATAATTTGAAATATGAACCATGCGCTTTAATTAAAAAGAATTTATGGCATCCAAGTCTTTAAAAATCTGTTACATGCAATTATACACGTACATGTATAACTAAAACGCAATTCATCGAAGGGAAAGACTATCACATTTTCAAGACCTAAAAATGCCAATAAAAAACACTAAATCAAAAAGTTAAACATGCGTACATAACAAGTTCTCCGGAATAGTTACAATGATCCTTAAGTTTAATTTTTATTTTACATGAGTAATTTGTATATCCGAATATATTAAGTAAAAACTGACGCGAGAAAGAAAGCACTAGGCTCTGGAAGTCTTTTTGTTATTGTGTTGTTGAGTTGTTGTTTCACCATCATATTGTTTATATCTTATCAGAAAACATGAAATATATTTTGAAACTAGGATTTATTATGAATACTTTTAAATCTAAAGAAAAAGTTAGCTTTTTCCTACGGGTAGAATTCAGTATTTATATTATAAAATAAATAAAGGCATAGGAAATATTTCTTGTTTTTTTGTTGTTTTTTTTTATTTGGTGGGGCGGGGGGATTGAACTTGTGTTAAATTACCTGTTGCTTTTTTGTCTTGAAATTGACACATTGAACTATAAATTCTATTAAACATACATAATATAAAGTATCTTATAATATAAAAGAATTCATTTATATACAGTATCTATAAACAACATTTAAACAAGACCGTTTTTATATAATACAATATCTTAGATATACACGTACACGAACTTTTCAATATACGATATCTTAGAAGTAAATAAACAAGAATTTTTGTGGTATGACTGTCAATGAGACATTTGCATGTACACGTCTCAACCAACAGTTGTTTTAGTAAACTATTTGTAAATTAAATAATGGATCCATTTTCTAATTTAAAAACCTCTTTCATTATTCTTGAATCAAACTTATTAAAAATATTTTCTCCTTTTTGTGGCGTCGTTAGGTTGCTGTCTCTTTTGCGCAAACCTAACAATTGTTTATATTCAAACTTATGAAAACTATATAGCATTATCAAGTTATTCATAAGAAACCGTGAACATGTGCGAGTATGTTGTACAGTAAGATTCTCACATAGTCATTATCGGAACACGCCTGGTAATGAGATGATGAGAGATTAAAGTAGATGTTTGTTTCTATCAAGCTACGATTATCTCGTTAGTGAAAGGTAGTGTTATCTGTCAATTATCCAGACAGGTAAATAAACAGGTACAGGGATGAAGAATACCCAGTGAAACAAGAATTAATAACAACAAAATGACGGTCCTCGCGGAAGTTTGTCAGAAAGATAACGCACTCTCGAAAAAGCAGTCCACCAACCTATTAATCGAATTTCTTGTCATTTCATAATAATTATGACTTAATAAGTTAAAGATGTGATTTTTGTTTTTGTAATTACAGTTTTATATTTGTGTGACATTAAGTGAAGGATTCAACATCAGTTTTCGTAAGTATCTTAAAAGCTGTACAATTGAATTACATAGTAAAACATTCAGATAATTGTTTTTGAGTCCTTAAAAAATAGTCTTAAAGAATAAAGAACGAAGTATTGTTCTTACGTGTATATGGTTTGCAGCCTCAAATAGTTTTTGGAAATAGTTTCAGATATTTTTGGTTTATTCAAATAATAGGGTTCCTGGATATTTTCTGCTGACAAAATCTCAATATTGATGTGCTGGAGTAAAGTTATATATATATATATTTAATTTAACATTAATTAGTCTCACGATTTTATTACGAATAGATATTTTGCATATATATATTTGTATAATATTTTACACGTAAACTCACATAAAAAGAAAGATAAGATAAATGCAGATTGTCATAATATACCCGCAAGTATTAATGATACTATTGACGCACTAAAAAGGTAGTTCGCTACATATATCCGGTTTTTAAAGATCAATAGTAGCCAATAAAAACGTGTTTCAAGCCTAGTCCTAAAACATGTTGATAATGAGAAAGTAACACTGCCATCTACAGAAGTTAAATAAGCAAACTGAAGATTGTACAAATAGTAATTAGTGTTAAAATTATGAATGTTTATCACTTGAGCGTTTACCTCGCCATTCTGAACACTCAGGTCTTATTTCTATGTGCAATTTTAAAAACACTTTATAACATTTATCTTATTTGTTGCACGTTTTTCTTTTATTTTACTATTAACTATTAAGAATAAAAAATCCTTCGTATCTCCATATCGTAACTACAGTTCTCAGTGGCGAAACCAGGATTTTGGAAAAAAAAAGGACGTAATTCCCGATCACCGTGTATAGCCGAGCGGATTAGGTGAAACATTTGGACGACTTTATGCTAAAAATGTATATATATCGTGAAAAACATGAGATTTTTTATATATTTTGGCGAACAAAGGGGAGCTTACGCCCTCTACGCCCCTGGAGCCGCCATTGGTTCTCTCTGGATATATTAAGTCTAACTTGAAATAAGAAACGCGAAAATATTATTCTAACCACGAGATTTGTTAACTCGTTGCAAGAATTGAAATTTATGTCAAAATTTGTTTAAGTTAAAGGGAAATGTTCGCTTTTAAGTAAGTAACTTAGTAAAAAGTAGCTTTATACGGAATAACCTTTCAAGCGAATAGCGCAAACATTCCTCTTTAGTTCTGTTTATTATATAGTCTTCATTATAAAAAAAAAATCAGACATTATATAGAAGTTTCATATTTTCTGTTATTTTGATTGAGCGAGGCATTCCAAAAGATATATTTCATTTCCGTATAATTACATCACACAGAAGTTGCATTGACACAGTAGTTTTTTAGGCCCAGGCGTTCAAACAGCTATATTTTATTTCTGTATAAAATGCAACATCTATGACTGCACGTGCTTTCCGTGACGACGTTAAAAAATATTGTTGAAAAAAAACCAACAAAAGGCTTGATTCAACTAATAATAAAAACATTATTCAAAGAACAGAATGTTTATAAGTATGTTAAAGCGTTGAAAGTGTTCACAGTTTTAAAATGGAGCGCTTCCGTGCTTTTCGGTAAAAAAGTTTATACTGCAATGAAATTGCAAAAAAAATCCATTCTTAAATAAAATGCATCGTCTATGACTGCACGTGCTCTCTATGCCAGCGTTAAAATTTAAAATGCATAGTAAAA